ACAACAACCGATGAAAGTTCTGATTCAACAACCTTCACAATCATAAACAAGAGTTACAATTGATGACTCTCACATTCTAAGGAGCCGAGATGAAGATCACAATCTTTTCAATGCTCTAACTAAAGAGACTACAAGTCAATGGTCTCTTTAACTCAAAACGCAGAGCTCACCTCTGCGTTCCAAGCTCAAAACACAGGGCTCACTTCTGCGTTCCAAGCAACACAACACAGGGCTCACCAACGCATTTTTCGGCCTTAAATACAGAACCCAACTCCACATCCCAAATCCAGGATGCAGAGTTCGTACCCAAAATGCAAATTTTGTGTTTGACTCGTTCAAACACAAGCTAAACGGTTCTAAAATCATTTCACATGATTTGAGGGGGATTACACCCCACTAAGGAGCGATTTTAGGGGTTAGTTACACTCCTTAATACCCTATAAATAGCCTTTGATGACCTTCACAATAACCGATGAAAGTTCTATTTCAATGACCTTCACAATCATCAACAGGAGTTACAATTGATGACTCTCACATTCTAAGGAGCCGAGATGAAGATCACAATCTTTTCAACGCTCTAACTAAAGAGACTACAAGTCAATGGTCTCTTTAACTCAAAACGCAGAGCTCACCTCTGCGTTCCAAGCTCAAAACACAGGGCTCACTTCTGCGTTCCAAGCAACACAACACAGGGCTCACCAACGCATTTTTCGGCCTTAAATACAGAACCCAACTCCACATCCCAAATCCAGGATGCAGAGTTCGTACCCAAAATGCAAATTTTGTGTTTGACTCGTTCAAACACGAGCTAAACGGTTCTAAAATCGTATCACATGATTTGAGGGGGATTACACCCCACTAGGGAGCGATTTTAGGGGTTAGTTACACCCCTTAATACCCTATAAATAGCCTTTGATGACCTTCACAATAACCGATGAAAGTTTTGTTTCAATGACCTTCACAATCATCAACAGGAGTTACAATTGATGACTCTCACATTCTAAGGAGTCGAGATGAAGATCACAATCTTTTCAATGCTCTAACTACAGAGAATACAAGTCAATGGTCTCTTTAACTCAAAACGCAGAGCTCACCTCTGCGTTCCAAACTCAAAACACAATGCTCACTTCTACGTCCAAGCAACAAAACGCAGGGCTCATCACCACAATTTTTAGCCTCAAATACAAAACCCAACTCCGCGTCCCAAGTCCAGGACGCAGAGTTTGTGCCCAGAACGCAAGTTTTGTGATTGACTCGTTCAAACACGAGCTAAATGGTTCTAAAACTGTTTCACACGATTTGAGAGGGATTACACCTCACTAGGGAGTAATTTTAGGGGTTAGTTAAACCCCTTAATACCCTATAAATAGCCTTTGATGGGACAATCATCTGACTTTTTCTTCGGCGGGAGAACGCACTTTTAGCTTAAATAGGATCTTTTTGGCAGATCGGGATTTGTTAGATCTTCGACAAGATCTTCAACGGTTCAAAACTTGCAAGAATGTTGGCTTTGGATCTTGGAGAATTTGTAGCATCATCAAGAGTCATTCTTGGAGTTTTTTCTTGGCTTGTTAACCGATTTCGGTTAGATCAAATAAACTTTTATAGAGTTCCAAACTTGTTCTGAGTTCTTTAACTCATTTAGAGTTCCTAAACTCGTGAGAGTTCTATACTTGCATTGCAAGTTCTTCCCATCAAGAGGAATCAACCAAGTTCCACGAGGAGAAGCATTCAGATTGTCAACGGGATACAAGAATCAAGCTTCCATCGACACCAAAAAGAACCCAGTTTTAAATAAAGAGAAGGATCTTCATCGATTCCTTACTTCTTTTGTAAATCGGGATACGGATATAGAAGAGTTGTAATTTCTTTTTCTAAGTTAGTTAGAGAGAGATTAAAGTAAGAGATTGTATTCATTCTTTTCCTGAGTCAGTTAGGGAGATTAATACGAATTTTATTCTCATTTCTTCTTTAATTTTTCCCACAAACATATCTAAGAATTCATCTTTGGACTTGAGGAGATAGGTGTAACTAAACCTAGAGTGATCATATATAAATGTGACATAGTATCTTCTATTTCCCCTACTGAGTGCTTGGTTTGAGTCACACACATCACTATAGATAAGTTCAAGAGGTTCAAAGATTCTACTTGTGGATGGTAAGGGTTTCCGGATAAGTTTTCCTTTGACTCAGATTTCACATTTGGAAGGAAATTATCAAAGAGTCTTGGGTATAAGATTAAGGTTAATCATCTTCCTAGTGGTTCCATGTTTCACTTGTTTTAATCTACCATGCCATTTGTCACAAGATTCAATATTCATAATAAAGGAAGAAGAAACTATATTATGAGAAGGTTATGTTACATTCAATTTGAATAATCCATCGTCTTTTCTATTAAATATAATATTTTGACGATGAACATTTTATTTAATTCCTTCACCATCCTAAAGCTGGATTTCGTGTGAATGGATTCACTAATTAGATTCCTCCCAAGGGAAGATTTCGTGTGAATGGATTCACTAATTAGATTCCTCCCAAGGGAAGATAGATGCACGACATTGTGAAGAGTTAGAATCTTTTGGGAGGTAATTTTCAAGTCTACACACCCACTACCATTCACTTGTCTAGTGGAGTTGTCTGGTATGGTTACACTTTCTTCACATGATTCTTGGTAAGTGGAAAACTAGGAGTGATCAGTTGAAACATGTGTAGCAGCTCCAAAGTCTAACCACCAATTAGAAGAGAGTGTAGAGTGAATAAAAAAGAGTGTAAGCTAACATAAAAGAATCAAGCTAAACTTCCATCTGTTAGGATTTTTAGATCTTGCAAAAATACCAAAAACCACCAAACGTAGCAAATAAAATCACACAAGATTTAACGTAAAAAACCCTCAACAAGGAAAAACCACGGGATTAAAATTAATTAACTATCACCTCCAAATTATAATCTTTTGCATAGATAAAGACTGCCAAACCCTCTCTCTCACAATACCCTTAAACCCGGTTACACCCTTTAAAACCATGATTACAAGAATATTGTCTCTCTCCTTCTCTCTATTCTCCATGTTTTTCTTCTAACAATAGAAGAATATATATATGGAAACCAAAATCCTATCTATAGCCTAACTTTCTAATTAGAATAGGAAACTCCTAATCATTATGAGACTCAATCTCCTAATCATGATAGATCTCTAACCCTATCTAATTCTCATGAAGTTATACAAAGAATAAAGGACTCAATCCTAACTTGCCCGCCAAGTTAACTTGGCCTCTAAGAAAACTACTAGGATTGGGCCTAGTCTTCAAACCCGTATCCGATTTGGAGTTTGAGTTGGTTCCCAACACCATCATGTTGAGTTTGGCTTTGATTTCCAAATAATTATGCAGAATATAGTCAATAAGAAAAGAGCCAACATACTACAATACAATTTACTTGTGTAGTTATGACAGAAAGGTACAAACAGAGATACAAAGGGAAGTTTGATTTACCTAGGGAACTCTTAGCGGGATAAGAATGGTACGGTTACGGCAAGGACTGAAAATAAAACGTATAGAAATACAGAAGGGCATAGCTTGAACTCGGAACAAGTCTAGCATTACCAGCAAACAATTTCCTTTTAATTATGTGAAAGACACTAAAAGCATATAAACAATTGATTGCATAAAGATTTAAACTGGCAGGCCTTGTAGTGTATTGTATTAATAAACTAATGTCAGTTTGGCACAAGCATTAGCAGTAGAAAATACGTTGTTCAACCTAAGTAAGAAAAGAATAAAATGGCGAGACATCAACATTTACGTTGTTCAACCTAAGCTTATATATATTCTCAAAAAATTGACGAGTAAATTTCCATTAGCGAGGAGAACAGTAGAAAATACAGAAGAGTTCTTCCACTTACATGCTTTACAATCTATATGGTCAAACCCTTCTTTTACTCATCCACAATGTGTTTGACAATTCCAGGCATTAGTTGATGCAATTAGTAGAATCACCGGTAGAGAAAAAAAATTATAGAGGAGATATATAACACCAAGACTAATGTCTTGGGTGACTCCTTCAAGCAAATTACTGGTACAAAACGTGACATTCTAGACAGAATATTCTGTCTACAATAGCCAGAATTTTGTCTACGTTGCTCATCCTAGATGACATTCCGTCTGGGATGTTAGTCTAGTAAATTTTCGTCTAAGATGCTGCATCCTAGATGGATTTCCATCAAGAAAAGCCATCCTAGACGGAAGTAGACGAAAAACAATCGTCAAGAATATTTCTAGATGGAAAAAGCTACCGTTTGGAACGTATCCTAGACGAAATTTCTGTCTAGGATGATTTACCACATCCTAGACGTAATTTCTGTCTGGAATATATCCTAGATGGAATTTTCTCATCTAATTAAATTTTTTTTAATATATTTTCTCCCTGTAAATATAGATATTACCTGTAAATTCAATAATAATCCGAATCCAACCAATATGCAAATCCAAATCTAATAATAATCAATAATAATCCAAATACAAAACAATAAGCATTACATTCCAGTACACATCACATTACTCATTCCACTCCGATACAACCCAACCAATATACATTACATTTCAAGATCAAACACAAACGAATAAACCATTCGGAAAACAACTTAAAATCAAAATAAACATCCCATCTCACGATGTAAAAACATCAAACACATATATTGTTTCATTTTCATACACATCATGTCTCTCATACAAATAATAATACTAATACTTCTAATGCACGTGATGCATGCATGATCTTGTCCACTTGTGAAATAAAAAATTCAAGCATCTAAATAATTGTTGATATAAATATAAATGTTTTAAAAAATTCCAATATTCCTCTCCTCCTTTTTTATAATATGGAGCTTGACACCTAAAATTCATCATCTAATTAAATTTTCACTTTCGGAGGCAACTTTTAAACTTCATTCAACACTAGTACAAAGGTGCTCAGCCCCAACGGGTGGTAGGAACCGTTGGGGCAACTTTTCGCAGCCCCAACGGTTCCAACCGTTGGGGCCTTTTTTTCGCAATGGAGGGAATCTTCCCTCCCTTTTTTTCCCAAAAAAAAAAAGAAAAAAAACACAAAAGGCCCCCGTGAACCCATTTACTTCTTCGTTCCCCCTCTATCAAAAACCCCCAAATCTCCTTTGCCGCCGCTCAGAGACTCCCGCCACCGCCTCTTGGAGATCACCTCTGCCACCGCCGCAGTTGCTCGGAGATCTCCTCTTTTCACTGCTCAGAGATAGTTACCGTCGCTGCTCAGAGATGGCCGCTGCCACCACCGCCACTCTCTCCCCTAAAAACCCTAGCCTTCGCCACCATGAACTGCAGCCACGCCGCTCTGTCCCCTCTTTTCAGCTGCTCGGAGATGGTCACTGGAAACCCTAGCGCAGAGGATCTGGAAACCCTCACCTCCCTCGCCTCATTGGACTCCGCTACCTCCCCTAACTCAACTTCCCTCTCGGGTGTGGCTAAACCCTGGCAATCTGCAAGCCCTCTATTTCTACATCGTCATCTGCCGATGCGTCTACGAATAGGTAAATAATTAGGCATTTTGCCCTGCAGATGATATGTCCACAGGTCGAAAAACACTCTAATAACTATTCCTTTATTTGTTTCTTGTGGTGATTTCAAGGGCTGAAAATTGGTGGATTGACTTTGTTAGGCGCCAAAGAGGGACTGATGATGCCGTTGCAAATGGGTGTGGGGTAAAAGCCCGTCAGCTTTGGTTTCTTAACCAGAGTAAGAACATTTTTCTTATTTGTATAATCTTCACTTTTCTGATTAAAATTATTGAGATACTAATATGGAGATCGCATTGTCATGGATGATATGTGAATATAGCTTTGATAGATAGCTCGGTTCAAATTTAAAGAGCTTTGGTTTTGTTGATGGATCAGTTAACTCATGAAAGCTTCAAGTTTTACTTATTGCAGAAACAGATTGTAACCTTGTTCCGGGTAGCTCTATAATCACCACTTGAAATTATGACATGAAACTTCGAGATTACATGTATGTACCCTTCTTGAATCATTGGTTCGAATCACAAAATTTCTGTGTCTTTAACACTTCCCTGTATGAACTTTATCCTAGTAGAAACTAACACATTCCTTATTATAAATTCTATTAGCAAAATGGAAGTTGAGTGTAAGAATTTCAAAGAAGTACAACAGAAATCTATTTGTATGTTCATCCAATAGCGTGATTTGCAACCCAAAAATATGCTCTATACTCTATGTGCATTGTTATACTATAACAGTTGACAGAATATACTTAATATAACAGTTATCATATGTAATAATACTCTATACTATGTGCATATTATTTTATTATATAATATCACGTGTGTTAATGACGAAATAGGTAGTGTGATATAATACATGTTATCAAATTGTTGAATATTTCTTTGTATACTACATTGTCACTATTCCTCTCACTGCTTTTGTCATCGTTCACTACAAGAATTTTAAGCCCATTTGGTGATGCTACTCTAGATACAGCAACATAGAATTGGCCATGTAGAAGACATGGTTTAGGTAAATACAGACCCACATATTTAAGAGTTTGGCCTTGATTTTTATTTATCATCATTGTGAAACAGTTCTTGATTGAAGGTAGTTTTCTCCTCATATTGAATGGATATTTCGAATCGATGTTAGTACTAATTATCCTTGAAACAAAATGTTTCAAAACCAATGTCGTTGCCGCTTATGATCCTTGCTTCTATAACCCATTTAAGAAGCTGTGTGACAATCAATCTTGTTCCATTACAAAGCCCTTCACTTGGACTTAAGTTACAAAGAAGCATTATAAGAGTTCATACTTTAAGTTTAATTTCATAAATTAGCATACCTGGAAAAGATAGTGAATTAAGGAACTCAGTAGGATATTGGCTTTCATTTTCATGAAGATTTGGAGATGTTTGACAAATTGAATCAGCACTCAGATATGTTGTGTTTTCTCCTTCTAATTTTTCTAATATGATATCATTAATAATCTACACTATCTCATTTCTAGGTATTAAAAATGCTCTTTCTTCTAGATAATTTGTATTACTATGATTTTGAAGGAGATTTGTACATGTTATAAAAATGATATCATCAACTAGATTCACATTCATGTTAATCAACAGCTCTGCAGGTATTTCAATTTTACAATCATTTGGATTTTCTTCATGCGTCTCATGCATTATTAATCCATTTCCTATATCAAGCACCTAGTTACTAAATTTAGATGCACTCATACAATCTTCACTGTCAGACTGTTGCTGAATTCCCATGTTCTTTTAAGGGTGAATGCCTTGCATTGTTGCCATACTGGTGAACGACTGATGCATGAATACATAATGTCATGCTTACTTCCTTGTGGTACAACTTGCAAAATTTGCCTAAAATCTCCACTAAGGACCACAGTCATGCCTCGAAGTCTCCCAAAATAGAACAAATGTTACAGACATGTACATATGTATGTATGCAGGCATGTATGCTTGCATGCATTCAGTACAATGAACCTGCCAATATCAACTATAAGGTATTTTTGCATGCCTAACCAAGTTTACATACACAGAAGTTACTAATATATTTTCTTTGCATACTTGACATACACAAACTATTTTTTATCAGAGAATCTAATGTGATTATCGTATGCTGGAAAAAGTTATCCTGAAGGTAGCCTGTGTCTGATCTTGCATACTTAGTTCCTAGTCACTTATATTTTTCTATTTCAATCATTCTAATCCTTGTCGTTGAAAATGGAACGCTGTTGTCTTTTTTATAGGTTATATATAACAGCCTTTTGAAGCTTAATTTTTCTGTTTGTAGTATGGTCGCATAGTGGACATTGAATTGAAGAATCCACCTCCCCCTGGTTATTGTTTTGTGGAGGTAGGGATTCATAATAATTTCTTGAAACTAAATGATTTTGATCTATTTTACTTACTCATTTTGTGGTTGTGCAGTTCGAAAGTGCTCGAGATGCTGATGATGCTGTCAGGGGTTGTGATGGCTATAACTTTGATGGATACCGTTTGAGGGTATACTGGAAATGTTAACTTGCTTTGTAGGCCTCGTTAGAAGATTGAATAAGGTGAACATCTATAGGTGGCAGATTCCAACTGCTCTGTGTGAATGTTGTTGCTTTTTTTTGTCAATATACTTTTAAGTTTATTTACTGTACAAACCCCTTGTTCTCATTGATCTCCAGCCTATTTCCAGGTGCATAGTCTATTATTTTTCATTTGGGTTCATGTGAAATTTGTGTTAATTCACTTTGGTACACTTACAATATTTATCCCTGCTTGTAGAGAACTACTTAAGGCATACTCCAAATGTGAGACAAGTGCATAAATTATCTCGGTCCAAAATGCGTGGCTTTCAAATAACTCAAGAATTCCTAAACAACTTCTAGACACGAAAGGTATTTTATGCTTGCAGTCCATTAATGCTTTCATCAACATGATCCTTAAAAGTTTCCAATCCAATATCATTGTAATAGAGGTGTATTAAAACTGTAGGAACTGAGGAGGCGCCTTCAAAAGCCTGTCTTGGATCTGATTACGATTCAGAAGATGGACTTCCACCTTTGGAAGAGAACTTGAACCACTTGAAGTTGGAGGACAGTGAAGAAAGTGAAGAAGAGGATGAATGAGGAATCCTTTCATCTTACAGTTCATGAATAAAAGAATAGGAACATTTAGTATTGTGCTTCATCGAAGCTCCACTATGTTTTATATTGTGTTTTGTTGTCTACATAGAAGAATGATAGCTTGTTATATAGTTGCTGGTTTAAATTATGTACTCAGAGGTTGTCAATCTGGTCGCAAAGCATTTGGATGTATAATAGAACCCAGTTTTGATTAAAGCTTATGAATACAAATGTTATCTTTTGTCACACTTTTTGTGTGTGTGTGCACATTGTGTTTTTATCTCTATTAAGAGTGATTAATCTTGAACATAATTGATTTTTTTAGATTAGGTACTTGCCCCAACGGTTGTAACCGTTGGGGCTAATTAAGACCCCAACGGTTACCACCGTTGGGGCTGATTAAGGCCCCAACGGTTCCAACCGTTGGGGCATTTTTTTTTATTTTTTAAAATTAAAAAATAAAATTTTCTTGCCCCAACGGTTGTAACCGTTGGGGCAAGTTTTTCAACCGTTGGGGCAAAGTCAGCCCCAACACGATTTGCCCTAACGGGTGTTTTAGCAGCCCCAACGGTCAATGCTCAGCCCCAACGGTTACAACCGTTGGGGCTGCTGCAGTTTGTACTAGTGCAAGCCTGAATTCCAAGGTGATTTTCAAGCTCTCCCATTAATTCTATTGACCATAACATGCTTTCATATTAGCCCTATCTTGTTTGTCTAGATTGTTAGGAAAAACTCAAATTAATCAATTCAATAAAGGTAAATAAAAGAAATATGGTCACTAGCATGTAAGCAGCAATGGTGTAAATACCGTCTAAGATAAAAAGATGCCTACCATGACGCAGGCTTCAACAATGGTCCGTCTCCTAGCGGTAAAAACCCTAATAAACCAGCACCTTAAGTTGCAATGATGCCTCAATTTTCTTGCGGATGATTGTTACTTGGAGAAAAATTGATAAAATATAAATTGTAAGATATATAATGGAAAGAGATGTAGAAGAGATGAAGCTTCTGTGATTATTTCTTCTTGCATCCTCTGTTATGTAGCTCTTTGGAGAGAGAGACATTGTACAAACTGAATCCACTTTTCTTCCATGATTCTCCATAATATCCTGTATTTGTCACATTCATGACGAACAAAATTTTTCCACGTTCCTCTTTATCCTCTCTTTTGCTTTTATAATAGAGATGTAAGAGAGAAGTAGGATTTGCTATAACCATTTTCAAAAAGATAAATTAATAACATGTAAATAGATATATGATTAAGAAATATAACCTTTTCCATTTAAATATAATAAATCCAACACATAAAACCTCTAGTTAACTTTTATTCATGTTGATTTTGGACACCGCGTTGAATTCTACATTGAATTAGGCATTTCAAATAAGGGTTGAGTATTTTTAAAAATACCATTCAAATCATCAATTTTGAAAGGAGAAAAAAACCCTCAATGCAGTTAATCATCAAATTTCATGAGATAATTTATAATAGCAATGTAAAAATTATCAATATAAAAAAACATATTTTTAGCACCAAGTTGATAAATTGTTGATTTATGGGGGTATTTTTTTCACAAAGTTTATGATTTGATAGGTAATGTTGCAAATACTAAGATTTGAGGTTAAAATACCCATGATTTAATGGACATATATACAAATAACCCTGTAGAAGTGACGAACATGGAAGAACAGCTCAGGAAACAAGCAGGAAATTGTTAGGTAGATTGACGGTCGACCGCGAGATCAGCTGCGGTCGACAGGAAAACGTGCACACTACAGGGTGCATTTTTGGTTTTCTGTTCGGTCAATCGCGGCATCAAGCCTGATCGACCGCGGACCCTGTAATCAATTTTTCCAGTTTCTGTCATTCTGTCTGGTCGACCGCGGATTCAAGTGCGGTCGACCGCGACTCGGGTCTGGGCCTAGGCTTTTGTTTTCTTACCCGTTCCGTTTTGTGTTGATATATAATCCTATACCTGATTAATTAGGGTTAAGCAATGATGATTTGAGCAGACTCTTGAGAGAGTATTGTGCATCCTTTTGTGGGAGAATTGTGAGAGGTTTAAAGCGCTTTGTTTTAGGGTTTTTGAGTGATTTTGTAACCCTATTTGTATTTCTCTTCATCTCTAATAGTAAGAACTCCCCCTCCTTGCCCCGTAGACGTAGGCAACTTGTTGAACCACATAAATTTGTTGTCTTACTATGATTTGTGATTTGTGCTTGTGTTTGGTTGTGATCTTTCTCATTGTCTTGTCGTGCACTATTTGGCTTTCGAGCTCGACTGCGCACAACAAGTGGTATCAGAGCTTCAGATTTGGCTTGGGGCTTGTTAATAGGATTCGCTAAAGGATTCTTACGTGAAGAGTTAGATCTACAACATGGGAGAAGAAAGCATATCGGGGTTGTCTCTTACGAAAGTGACACAAAGTCCGAGCATAAATAACACTAAGATTGATATTTCGAAGTTCGATGGAAAGATCAATTTCGGTTTGTGGAGGTGCCAGGTGATGGATGCGTTAGATGCACAGAATTTGGAGAAGACTCTTGAGTTACAAGAGAAACCTGAAGATATGGAGGATAAGGTTTGGAAGAAGATGAACAGTAGGGCTTGTGGAGTTATTCGGTCATGCTTGACTTTGAATCTTATTTATAATGTGATGAACGAGACACCAGCGAAGAGATTGTGAGAAACGCTCAATGAGAAGTATCTTACGAAGAATATTAAGAATCGGCTTCACTTGAAGAAGATGTTTTATCAGTTCAAGATGAAGAGAGGAGTTTCCATTAGGGAGCATGTCAATAACTTTACAAAATTACTTTCAGATATAGCCAATGTGGATATTATGGTTGAGGATAAAGACAAGACGATGCTACTATTATTTTTGTTACCGAACGATAATTATGGTATGTTTATTCTCACTATGGTCAATGGAAGAACTACTGTTAGCTACAAGGAGGTGACCTCAGCGTTGGTGAGTTATGAGTTGAGAAAGAATGATGGCGAACCCTACGAGAAGGCATCGGGAGATGCAATAGCAGTTCAAGACCGTAATTCAAACTGCCGCCAAGTCAACCGCTCAAAATCAAAGAATAGAGGTGGCTATAAGAGTTTTAGTAGAAATCAATGTCGTTTTTGTAAAGAAGAGGGACATTGGAAGATCGACTGCCCAAAGTTGAAGGACAAAGCTGGGAAGAACAAGGGAAAAGTTATACAAGCTTCAGAAGTAAATGTTACAAAACTTGTTGATGAACATTCAAATACAGATTCTTTAAGCTATTCGTGTCCTGCACTACCATCGGTTTGCTATGCCGACTCTATGGAGTGGATGTTAGATTCGGGAGCCACATATCATATTTACTCTAGGAGGGATTGGTTCTTCAGCTTTGATGAGCTAGAAAGAGGGGATATTGTGCTTATGGGTAATAATCATGTATGTCCTATTGGTGGTATTGGTTCAGTCCGAATCAGGATACATGACAGAGTGGTTAAGGAGTTGAAAGAAGTAAGGTTCATGCCGCAGTTGACGAAGAATATCATTTTTCTTGGTACTTTAGAGGCAGCAGGTTATCGAGTGACCTTAAAGGATGCTACTGTGAAGGTCACGAAGGGTTCTATAGTGGTGATGTGAGGTATCAGGGAAAATAACCTATACTACTTAAAGGAAAAGATAGTTACAATGGGTCTGACAGCTTCTATCACTACAGAGGAGAAAACTACCAGCTTAAGGCACGTGCATTTAGGACACACTGGTGATAAGTCCCTGTAGACATTAGCAAAACATGGGCTATTGAAAGGTACAAAATTCTATAAGATGGAGCTGTGTGAGCATTGTGTACTTGAGAAGAAGACTAGAGTAAAGTTCGGCATCACTATTCACAACACCATAGGTATATTGGATTACATTCACACAGATGTTTCGGGCCCTTCCAAGCACACATCACTTGGTTGGGCCAACTATTTTGTCACTTTCATTGATGACTATTCTAGGAGAAATTAGGTATATACAGTGAAGCATAAACATGAGGCCCTGGATATTTTTGTAGAGTGGAAGAAGAAAATGGAGCTACAGACAGGTAGAAAGGTGAAGACTCTTCATTCAGATAACGATGGAGAGTACAAGAGTCATCCATTTTTACAGTTTTGTCAGGATCACGGCATTAGAAGATACTTTATAGTTCGAGAGACACCGTAATAGAATGGGGATGCTGAGAGATTAAACCGTACATTGCTGGAGAATGTACGATGTATGATGACACAAAGTAGATTGCCTAGATCCTTTTGGCTCGAGACGTTAGTTTATGCGAGACATCTAGTGAACTGGTTACCGTGCACTACGATACAGGGGAAGACTTCTATAGAGCGTTGGTCTGGTTCGGTGGCTAGTAACTATGAGTCGCATCAGATATTCAGGTGTCCTGCTTTTTGTTATGTTAATGATGGAAAATTATATCCGAGAGTGAGGAAAGAAGTCTTTGTAGGATTTAGAGAATGTATTAAAGGCTTCAAGTTATGGGATCCACGTGATAAGAAGATAGTCATTAGCAGAGATGTTAAATTTGATGAGGTGTACATGATGAGGCCTCAAGTTCCTCAGTGGGTGGAGGAAGACCTAATTTGAGAGATATCGTAGCAGGTGGAGGATGATGTGACTCCACCCACTCCAGATAGCATTGTATCCATTAAGGCTCCTATAGAGGTGACACTAGAAGAAGATGGGATGACAGCCGGGCATATAGAGAATACAGTGAATGATGAGACTCAGGAGCAAGGTCATATTAAGGAGTCCATTGCAGCAAATAGACCTAGAAGGGTTATTCATAGACTAGCTAGATATAATGATGTCATGGTCACATATACATTATCAGTGGAGGTTGTTGATAATATGGTTTCTTCTACATTCAGGGAGGTAGAGTCTAGCTTTGATTCGATCAGGTGGAGGGAAGCTATGGAAGATGAGATGCGTTCTCTTCAAAATAACGACACTTGGGAACTTACAAATCTACCTAAGGGTAAGAAAGCTATTGGTTGCAAATGGATATATATAAAGAAGGAGGAATTTTATATTAGGGACATTCGATTCAAAGCCAGATTGGTTGTCAAAAGAAATGCACAGCTTGAGGGCGTTGATTACAACGAGGTATTTTTACCAGTTGTGAAGCATTCGTCGATTCAGATTTTATTAACATTGGTGGCGCAACTGGATTTAGATTTGGTCCAGATGGATGTTAGGATAGTCTTTCTATACGGAGA